CACAATACAGACTACGTTTAACTGAGACAGGTGAGAAAGAATAGGATCTGGAAAGTGAGTTCTGATAGGATGTATGGCATATGGGAGATAAACATATAAACATAAACTTCCACTGCTGATACTAGAGAAAAAATGTTACAAAAAATCAGTGGATGTGAAAAAAAAATTACCAAATATATACTTCTCTACACAGAATATTCAAGAAGCAAATAAAACATTTGCTTCTGCAAAGAGCAGTTCCCATTTTTTTAAGAAAATTGTACCAAAAACGATTAGAATCCTCAAGGCAAAAAGACTGAGTACTATGGTAACTGTCTTATTACGAGAAACTTATATTTAGTGTGTGTGAGAAAAATTAATCAATATTCATATATTCATAGGGTAAGAATTATTAAGAAGTCAATTTATTGGGAGGGGGAAGAGAGAGTCAAAGGAGGAAACTGAAGGAAAAGCTGACTTCAGAATGGAAACTAAGCATTATTCTGTATTAGTGAAACAGTAAAACAAAATACCAAGAGAAATGAGGGATTTTTTGACTCTGCATGTCTGACCTAGGTAGATGCATATCTGTGAGGACACACTTCAGGCAAACAAAGCATTAGATCTGTATTCAGGCAGAACAGGATGCAATTTAATGTCTTGTGAAATGGAGAAGATAGAATATTTAGATAAAATGGCTCCATCATGCCTAAATCTATGACTCCATTAAATATCTGTTCTGAAAAATCAAAATACGTTGGAATGAAACTAAAACCAGATTTTAAACCGCAATTTGTATTTACAAATGTGATTATGTCAAAGATTCCTTCCAACACAGCTGAGCTCTCTCTGGTATTATTAGAGGATCATGATAGTAGGGGATACTCTTCTGTCTTCAATGAGATTTAGACCAGGCCGTTAATCCCCAGAATGTTTTTACCAGTCACTGCAGGGATTATTCAACTATCACCCAGACCACCTATCTCATTCTTGATGATTTCAGCTGAAAGCTTGAGGAGAAATGTAATTCTCAGGAAAAAAAATTCCAGTCTCTAGAGATTCAAACCAGCACAGTTCTTACATTCAGAAATATTTTAGATAGTACTGTTATGGTCAACATCAGAGGAATTAAACAAGATCTAATAATAGAGAGCAGCAGACACTTACTGCCAGTTAAGAGATGTTTATACAATAATATAAACTGAAAATTTCCATTACAACTTGACAAATCTAGCAAAAAGTGTCCCTGTGTTGGGACACAATTACTAAGTATATAAAATTACAGCTGCAGAGTGAGTTAATTGGTAAAAGACATATTTAAAGTTAAGGTATTTTAAAGAAAATAGTATCATCCCTCTCACCTAAGGCAATGTTAAAATGAAAGCATATTTTCAGAAGTCTTATTTTTAGTACACATCGAAAAAGACTGATGTGCTAAGGGGAGACCAAACTACTCTTGAGACTGTCATCCACTATTCAAATTTTTGCCTATGTGTGACAGAACAATAGTTCCATGTTCAGTGCATGCATTTACTGAGCAGATCTGGATGACAAAGCATTTTCAGAGTGTTTTCCATTCATTTCCATCTCAGATTACCATCTTGATGATGAACCATTATCATCAAAGTATATTGACTTTTCTTGGTAACTGGATTTCAAATTTCTGAAACTGGAAACTTTGAAATAAACAAAGCCCTGGCACCCTAAAGTCATAATCTTCATTGTATATTTTTATTTTTGCTACTAGCATCAGTATAGGTTTGCCATTCATTCAATTGCTTTTCTGTTGCATTACATGCATCTGTAACCAATTCTGTACATTTTGAAAACCTAGTAATCTGATAATATTTTTGGACACACAGGTGAGGGAAAGCTTTGCTTACTATTTATTAATCTATTTATTCACAATAGCACTGGCTATTCAGTCAGAGGTGTCATAAAATATAATATTTTCTCTTACAAGCTGTTTGCATTACCTATTCACAAAGAAATGAACTTGCTATGCCCTTTCTCCCACATATATTAATTTTTTCTCAAAGAACTGTACGGAGTTTTCTGTAAATTTAGGATGTGTTGAAAGTGAGATTCCACAGAAAAAATAATAAAAATTTAGTTTATTTTTGCAAAGTAGCTCTAAAACCTGAATGTTTTCATATATACATTAACAATGGGTCAGATAAGTATAAAAGTGAACATTTACTTTGACTATTAGACTTTTCAGGAAATAAAAGGCACATACTTGTAATAATGGAATCATGTTCTGTATTCCTTATGTGGCTTATAAAATTACTGTCATGCTCCAGGCAGTGCAATTGTACTTTATATCTTAGAGCTCAACTGTAAAATTCTCACTAACCTCTCAATAGCAAATCAACTCAATGTTCGGAAATGCTTTTAGTTTGCTTTGATTTTTACCTTATGTGACATTACAAAGGAGAAAAGTCTGGATTAGCTGACAAGCTAGTGAGAATTTGTGCTAATTTTATTCAAAACAATATCCTAAGATTTCCAAAAGGGAGCTCTCCAGTAAGGAACAAAAAAAAAGGAAAAAAAAAGTATTAGAAAAGTAAATGTGACTGCTTAATTCTCTCAAAGGAAGACAAAAGCAAAATTATTTATAAAAATGTCCTCAACGACAGGTATAATTTATATCAGAACATATGGAATCACATTTATATTCACCAGAGGCTATCTTTAGAATGTAATTTGTGACCTAATCAGCAGGCTTAAATTTAAAGTAGCAGTAGCATTGTGCTTAATATGCGTGGGTGGGGTAAAAAAAGCCCAGAATCCTATCCAGGTGGTTTTACCTATATCATTTTCTTCCCTAATAATCCCTAATTTTTTGCATGAACCAGTGTTTTGGAGGAAATATGAAAACAAGCAGAGATTAGTTAATAATGAGGTCCTTCCACTCCTAATATCAGTTTTCTAATGCTAGAAACTCCTCCCTGTAAAGGAACTTCTTTTAAAAATGGCAACATTTTTTTAAACTACATCAATCAAAATTTGTACCTGTGAAGGCAATTTATTTATGTAGTTGTGATAAGGATATTGAGAGTAACTGCTTTTTCTATTAGTACACACCTAGTTCTTCTTGCATATACAGAAACCAGTTTTTGAGCCAAAGTAAGCAAACCGGAGCTTATCACATGAATATCTGTTGGATCTACATTTGAATGTTATAATTATGCAGCTGTGGACTATATAAGTACTTGAATGTGCACCAATTTTTAGGAAACCATGTTCAGAAACCAAGGAACATAATGGTAAAATGCCTTTCTTCAACATACAACACAGAACTTGTAGAGTAAATTACTTCTATAGGAAGGAAGGAGACTATATATTTTAGATGAATTATCTTAGAAATAATTGGGTTGGTATTCTGTCTTCTTTCATTTACATCTTTCATGACACCAATGGTTATCCTAACTACTTAGTGCTGGTAGATATTAAAGCAGTGTTCATAGCATGGCATGTGATTTAACAAATCCTGTAAAGTTAGCTGACTTAAAATTATTACATCACAAGTCCTGAAAAAAAGTATTTTGCATAGGTGTGGATGTCCCTACATGATCACAGCACATCAGGTCTTCAGAAGATACAATTAGGTAACTGAAACACTTTGAAACTGGACAGTTGGATATAAATATTTTTGTTATTAAGGCCAAACAAGTTTTAACAAAACATCAACACACTAGAGTTTGTCAGGGTTTGTAATCTGGCAACATCCATAACATTTTTCACACAATGCAAAAGGCAAATGGAAGTGGCCAGGCTACTTCACATCACCAGATTACAAGAAACTCAGTATGATCAAACAAATTATTTATCCTCAGCTGCCTTCTCAGAAATGTCTGAGCAGTCATTTTCACGACACTTAAAAAAAACCCCATTATAAGACTTTTGAAAAGATATTTATAATTAGTGTTACTGAAAGCAGCTAAGTAAAGATATTACCATTTGGTAATCTTCCTGCATGGAAGATTTCCTCTGAAGCATTTAAAGCGTAGTAAACCTATATGTGACTGAACTCAATGTCCTGTGACTTGGAAGTGTCAGGTAGACTTGCAGTGCTACTAATTCTGCCTCTAGTTTTCTGTTGAGTACTTGGCACTGCTAAATAAGCTTTTAGATAAACAGGAATGCCTTAAGTTAATGCAATCAAATTCACTAGTAAAATATCTATCATTTTGCCAGATATAGTTCTAATGAATATGTAGTATCCATTAAAGTAATAGATTTAAAAGAAAAGAAAAAAACTCAACCAAACAAAAGAAATGGGTGAAGTGTAAACTCAGAAATGGATTCCTCTGAGCAGAGGGACGTAAGGGAAGAGGAAAGAAGTATCAAGGTAGACAAATAATAGGTTAACAAGGTTTATAGATCCCACTATCATTTGACAGAGGACGAAGAAAGTCACTTTTTGGCAGTGGTAGAGATTTCTTTGGCACATTGAACTCCTGACTTAGTAAGCGAATGTGGTCACTGTTGCTCCACATTTTTGAAGAGCCAGTCATTCAGGCACAAGAGCAGGCTGGAACTGATCTGGACCTGCTGCCACTTCAGCAGGTGAGATCAGGACTTGTAATTACTTTCATATCCTGAGGGCCAATTTTGACTCATGATATATGTCAAGAACATACAGGAAGAAAGACTGGAAAAGGTCTTCCTCCCACACCCTCATCAACCCCCAGAAACCACACTAATATTTTTCCTTTCCCTTCACATTCCCTTCATATGCAACAAATCTATCACAAGGAAACTATCAAAAATTTAACTGCAATGTGAAAAACATGTTGATTCACAGAATGAATCAGAGATTTCATTCCACTTCTAAATAAACATCAGATTGCGCACTCTGCCTTCAGTGACTCTTGGATACCATTATTTAAGCTTCAGGTTTTTTAAATCAGCTATCTACACAAGCTCATTTTAATTTATTTATTGTTTCATAGTATTCATACCAATTAAATTTAAGTCACGGTTACATGTATTTTTCTACTTCTCATAATACTTACGGGTCTTTCGAGCAGAATCTTCCACAAAAAGAGAAGAAATATCCTCGTCCACTCCTGCTTCATTCTTTGCAATGCAAGTATATGCTCCTGTATCTTCATAGCGCACATTGCTAATGTGAACCTCACTACCATTTGCTGAAAGGAGAGGAAAAAAATCAACATGCAGACATGGCACATTGCTTTCAGATTATAAATTCAAAAGGGTTTCTCTGCTCATATTAATTAAACCATTTTCATTCCTGAGTTCATAACTTGGAGGCATGCCAAATTAGTCCAAAGGTATGCAACTGGTTAGTGAATTACATGCACCGTTATTCATCTCACAGATATCTGGACTACCTCAGCTGATTTTGCACCTCAGAGCCAAATATTAGTCCAAAGTTTTATATATGTTTAAATTACTATGATTGTTTCTAGAATCAGGTAATTTTTAGGGTTTTATTATGTTGCATTTGGTCTCTTGAAAATATCATTGGCTTTACACAAAATAATCTATTTTTCCATGGAACAGAATGGGCTAAAATTTCAAAGTAAAGAATAAATTTGAATAAAATTATTTGTTTTTCATAACCAGAGGCACCTACTTTTGCTTCTGTGTGAATGCAGTGTAACAACAGAAAAACAGGTGCAGTGAAATTTTACACCTACATCAATGTAGGAGCCTATGGAAACCACTTCAGGAAACATACATTAGCTTGTGTAGGAATGTCAACAAACAGTCTAGGTTTCACAGGCAAAGGTCTTTCAAATAATGTCGTGTGACTAATGACGTGAACAATAATTCATTGCATTTTAAGTATAGTATACTTGTTCAGCTGTAGGAACTATAGAAAAAACAGCTTTGTAGGTATTCTAAAGTATGGACTAGAAGGGGCACAGGATTATAATGTAATATCCCTTCTATTTTGAAGTTAATGCATAGATAGTTTAACCCAGGAAAATATCTAAGAAAATGTAGTGAGATTTTTGAAATTTAATTTCACTTAAGTACATTCAAGAAAATTGAATTAAGTGTATTTTGCTTAGAGAAGAATCCTTTTTATTTATTTTTCATAAATATGTGAAACAGAGATGAAGGAAAAAAATTCCACTCAAATCTCTACAGGAGAAATTAACAACGTGCTGCTATTGAAGAGGATTCCATCACTTTCTGTCACAGTGGAAAGTGTTTCTGCAAGGCAATTTTTCACAAATATCCAAGAGAGTTGTCCATGAAAGAACACAGAACTATGACACCTGAAGGGAAGGTAACTCTTCAGAGAAGCACTTTCCATGCTCGTCCCACTGCTTCTTCCACTGTAGGCTGAGTTCTGTCCTATTCTAATGACACATTCTGGTTTTGTAGATGAATGAGAAAAGGTTTTGAAGGGAACATTAACAACATCAGATTTTTCTTTTTTTCTGTGGCTGATCAAAAATCACCAGAAGTACTGAAGAAGCATGAAGATTTTATGCTGGACAGGTCCACTGATTTTGCTGAGCCCTGAAGATTCATAGATTGACTGTTGAGTACTCTTAACTGTTGATTACTTGAAGGTAAGACTTTAGTTTTGGCTAGGGTTTATTTGCAGTTTGATTTGCTTGTGGGGTTCTGGTTTCTCAGTTTTTTTGGGGGAGGGCATCGAGGGACAGGGTTTGTGTGTGCGTGTGCAGTGTCTTTGCATTCTCCTGGAGGTGTACTGATAGCCCTCAGACAACAGCACATCCATTTCAGGTATTTCTCCTCCTATCCTGTTCACCATCAGGTCCCCAAATCTGATTAAGACTCTTTTCAGTCAAAAAAACCTGATGTTTTCAATTAATCTGCAATAAAGGTAAAGGGTGGTCCATCTTCTAATCTAAATTAGTGAAAAATAGTCAGGTTGATATTGATGTATTAGAATAAATATTTACAGACAAAAACATTGACCCCCAATTTAATTATTAGTGTTGAATACCCACTGAATGACATCAATATAGTTGCAGTGACAAATTCCGGTTGGGAATGGGTCTTGGGCCACTCACTCCACTTGGATACTTCACATTTTTTAATAGAGAAGAGAATATTAGAATTTACTTGTAATCCTGTCAGTAAGTACAATCATTATTCTAACAAAGAGAAAGTAGAGAAGATATCTGCCTTGAGGAGTAACTGAAAGACATATTTTGAAAGCTTTAGCTTAGACTTCGACCCTTGGTTAAATCTCTGCAAGAAGGGCACCTAGTATGGAAAGGATACACTGATAAAGCACTAGCAACCTGCAGAAAGCAATAAATATGCCCCTTTACCTTGAAGAGTTAGCTGTTTGGACAACTTTGGAGTGATATCAATTCCATTTTTCAGCCAACCAAGCTGTGGGTTAGGAATACCTTCAGCATGGCACCGAAGGCTAGCTGTCACACCTGGCTCCCTTGCCTGGCTTTCTGGATAGACTCGGATAACTGGTGGAACTGAAGACAGAGAACAATTCTAATTTAGTGAAGAACAGCATTATCTTCATTTTAAGAAAAATAATTACAAGCAATTCTAAAGACTCCTGCAGCTATAAATAACAACACACAGATGTGGTATTAGTCACAAATTCAGGGACATTCAATGTGGAACTCTGTCTCAGAAAATTTATGAAGCAGAAGGAACGTTCACTGAGAAAAACCTGTTTTCACTGCCTGTGGTATGAAAGAAAAAAGCCTCAATTCTAGTTCAATAGTTTATGATTAAGTAATAAGATTTTTATTTTTCCTTAGATTTCTTTATAAAATATGAATAATATACAACCAGTAAGTCATTATATGATGTAAAGAGACTGCAATTGTCCTGTTTCACAAACCTTAACACTTCATGTCCCCCCTTTCCCCTCTTTGCAAAACACCTATCAGCAATCCATCATACAAAACCTGTTCAGGTTTACACCTGTTCAGACAGGACCGTCTGTGCCCAGGATACCATTTGCCTTCTTGTGTTGGTTTGAGACAATTTGGAGGGGTGGAGACCTCAGACAGAAATCTCTTCCCTCAGATTCTATACCTATGGTTTTTCCAATAAAGAGAGAGAGATCAAATACGACAAGATATAAGTGGGAAAAAAAGAAAACCCAAACCAAAAAACTCTTTACCAAGGAGAATGCTAATAGCAATTCTGATAAAGCTTGGTTAAGTCAACTGATGAGGAGAAACTTCCCAAGCCCTGCTCACAGGACCAAATTGAGATGGCAACTGGCCTCCCCCACCTGGAAAAAAACATATGTGGCCACAGGACAGAGACAAGATGGCTGCCCTTCCATGTGTTTCACCTTCCCCATGCCTGGAAAACCTGGCAGGAATGGTTCAAGATGTGTTTGGACAATGCTCTCAGATGCAATTCTTGGGGTGTCCTGCATAGGTTCAGGAGTTGGACTCAATGATACTGATGTGTTTCTTCAAACTGAGCAGATTCTATGATTCTATAAGACTAGTCTTCTGAGTTTCTTATTAGTAAAGGATAAGACAGGAATTGTTGACATCACTTTTTCAAGGTTTGAAAACTTGCTGCAGTATATGTGTGCCAACTAAAAATCTGCTACTTACCACAAATCTGTATTGGCAGATTGAGGACATATGATATCACAATGGACATATTCCTATCGGTTATCAATGATTAAGCAAGTTTAAAAATTCCACTATGTAAATTTTTTAGATTAATAACTACATATCTTTAATTATAGAATTAAAGAGAACTTGCTTGAGGTTGTTTCAAACAATAAAAAAAATTAACTGCAATAAGATTAAAGAAGTATATTTTCTATTCTCCAAAGTTTTGTTTAATACAGCTCTAAAAATGTGGAATACCTAGGTTGTGTCACAAAACACAGCTGGATAGAGGATGAAGTATCAGCTAATAATGAAAGAAGATAACAAGATCAAAAATTAACTGTGTCTATTTTGGCATAAGATTAAATATTTTAAAATGTTATCCAGCTATTTACAAGAAATGTCCCAGCATGCTGTCCTGTTAGAGCACAGAAATTCCTTAAATTTCTACACTGCAAAAAAATACACAAATGTAGTCTATCTCAGATAGGATGCAAAAATCAGTAAGTCTCAGGGATATTTTAAACCCAGTGAGAGAGAAGGGTCTTTTCAAATAATGTACACAGAAAATTGCACATAACCCCAATATGCAAACTGTAAAAATATCATAAAATAACAAGGAAGAAGGTTAAAATTTGGAAAACTGTGACTGCTAGTATACAAAGTATACAAAGTATACAAAACCCAGAGTTTTAAGATTTCTGTTGAGTTTCTGGAAGGGACTCTGCTGGATCTCTACTTTTCATCTGAGGACTGGTATTCCCACTCCTTTTTCCCCTTCACTTCTTCCTTGTTCTATCTTCTCTCTCACAGCATCTGTGTGTTCCCCAATGAGACCCTGCCTTCCCCACTGTGCTCCTCAGACTAAGCCCCACTCAACTTCACATTCAGTAGTCTAAACATATTTGGCCAATATTTGGCACCTCAGCTCCCAGTTTCGCTCTACCTCTTTTCCTAAGGTCCAATTTTTATGTCTGCCCTGTTCCTTGACACCAGGTCCTTTAGGTAGCCTACCTTACATTGTAGATTTCCCACTGCAGCAAAGCCAAATAGCTTATTCCTCCACCCTGTCTCAGAAAAGCAAGAAGCTCCATCTCCTTAGAAACCAGATTGCCATAATTGAACACTCACAGGCATCTCAGCAACGTAAACAACTTTTAGGACCAATAGTAAGGCATTGCATTAATTCCATTCTGACTACCTATGACAGGATATTTCTTGTCTTTTTTTTTCTGTCAGTGAAATATTTTTATTGCATACAAAAGGTTATGGGTATTTAACTACCACACCTTGACAGATTTCTGCTGAGCACTTATGAAGAGACATTTTTAATGGTCCGATGTATTAGTTTCATTTGGACAAAAGGCAGATATTTTAGGGGCATAGATGTTGTTAAGAAAGTTTTAGAAAATATTATAACTGAAATCAAATATTTCCTAAATAAACAAACAAAATCCCACCCTACATGACAAGATGCTATTGTTGCTAAATTAACTACTTGGGTGTTGTTAGGAGATGTGAAAGTGAGGACCTGCTCAAATGAAAACATGTCTGAGTTTTCTTTTACTATTTCTTGTTTCTGTAGTAGATCCTTTTCCCTTTAGCAGTGTTTTCCCAGGCACAGATATTCTTGCATTAGAGTTCATTTCTTGCACTACCTTTCCTCCATTAGTTGCCATTTCCCGCTGTCCTCAGCAAATCTTTGTCTGATGGGTTACCTATACAGCTAGAAATGTTTTTCAGATCTTGTTTTGCATTATACTTTTTATTTCATATTACCCCGAAGCCTACCTGTTATATAACACTAAGAAAGAGCTGTGCAACTGAGGCATACAAACAGGAGAAATATTACTGCAGTTGTGGTCTCAGTCTAAAAAGTTAATTTGGTATGACAAGTTTGATGTAAACTCTTTGGGTTCATTTGAATAACTTTTTTTTGTGTGTGTGTAACTGAGCATAAATATTACCAGTAGTCAAATTTTAAGTACACAATTAATGTGATTGTTCTCAATGACTTTTAAAGAGGTATATTCTAATGTCCTAACCTAACTTAGACTACTTTACAAGGGAGATATCATTACATAGGTTAAAAAGGGTGGGGAGACACTGCATGCTTGTACTTAGCAGAGTAATATATAACGCATAATTGAGTGAATCCTGTATCTCTTATTTTTCAGTTCAAAAAGCTACGTGAGACTTTTAGTTCTAAATATGCTGCATACGTAACTATTCAATAAATATTACATTTGCTATAAAACCTCCAGAATATTATTTCAGTCAGGTCTGATGGGGGGATGGCAGAGGGGGGAGGGAAAATATAGTCTGTTCAAGTTGTCTTGAATCCAAGGAGAATGTATGTGTTTAAAAGAGAAACGGGTAATATATTTAGTGCTCTAGGTTCTTCTATTGCTGTTTATAGTAACACTTCTTTTTTATTAAACTGAGATACTTTGGAAAAACAAAGTTGGTAAACAATTCTTCAGACATAATAAATACCCAATTTACATCAGGCTAAGGGACTGGGGTCTCCTTTCTTTATCTTAAGGTACCCAAACTGCTAACCTTTTGTCTTGAAAACAATGTGGGGAAATTTCTTGTTACCTATCTGCAAAGATCTTGACTTGTAAAATTAATGTAAAATCTCAGTGAGTAGGATACCATACACAAACAGAAAAAAAAAATCAGATAGGTGCTACATATATATTAAGTTGATTTGCAAGATACACCACAACCTTGTACCATTTTTGGATTCAGTTTGAAGTCAGTCTTCCATTTTGTTTACAATATGGCTAATGACATCTTGCTTCTCTGTCTAGAAACAACCTTCCAAAAGTAAAATTCGTCAGTTTGGAAAATCTAGGCTATGCTCTGTACATACTTGAAAAATAGAAAAACTTGAATTATGAAAAAGATATTTAAACTCATCTAGGTATCATGTCTATATCTGTCAATGTGATCATTACTATTAACATTTCTGGCTATAGACAGCATGGATCTGCAACACAATAAACATTGAGTTGCTGAGAAAACACAAACTTTCTAGATATTTCAGCTTTTTCAGTAGTAATTTTCAAGGCTTTTTTTTGGTGTCAGATATAGATATCACATTAATGTAATCCTAAGAATGGTAATAACAAGAAAGAGTATTAATTTTTATAATCCTTTTTAACACCTTAACTAACATATGCAATAACATAGACATAAGGAAAAACAATCCTGTTTTGTCAATAAACTTCTGTTTTTTCACTTAACCGATGCATACACTTCTGTTGCATTAAAGAGTTGAATATTTATCTATAAAGTGGCTAATTGAATACATTCGTACCATCAAAAGGCATTTTAGAGACAGGTGCCCCCCAAATACAACACCACACATTACAAGAATATATGTGTTTGTTACAGATTTTTTTCTCTCTAAGCACCATTTATTAATTTGTCTAGAAGAATTTTTCCAGCATTTACCAGCATTTGCCTATAAAAGTTTGAATGGCTGCTGTGGACAAAACACAGAGACTAATAAAGAAGCATAGGGGAGATGATATAAATTCTTCTGAAATACGAATTAAGTAAAGACAGTTTTTAGCAAACTAATTATGGAGTTGACATAAATATTTTATGGGAGATCGAGTTACAGAGCTCCTCTTTGTCTTCAGTGATACTAAGACCATTATATACAACTATATATACATCTGAGATCAGACTTTCTAATTAATGAATTCATGTCATGTGATGTCAACAACAGTAAAGGAAAAATATCTGATAGAATTAATTTAAATATAACTGATATATTGAAAGAAAAATAAAAATCAAACTTACAGACTCAGATTTGTATAGTCATATAGTCTCAGAGTCACATAATCTCAAAATTGTACACATTGAAAGTTTTAAGTATTTTGTAAATGCTAATAATTAGGATTACATTGTGAAACAGTTACTGTTGCCCCATTATGACTTTGTATTTTTGGGTTTTTTTATAGTTTCTGTGAAAAAGTGTTAAATATCAACTTGTTATAATATTGCTTACAATATTTACCATATTACTTGTATAAGAGTAGACTGAGTTTTTCACCATAAAACAAGTCTTTTACAATGTTCCTTAACTGTATTTTTATAACTCTAAAGAAAGCTTATTCTCTTATTCTTTACTACTGTACCAGATAATCCAAAACTAAAAAAATCTTAAAGGTTTTAATGTTGAAAATAAATCAGATTTATATATATATTTGCATACTAGTCAATGTAAAAAAATATATTTTTTTTTCTAAAAATATATAGCTGTACATAAATGGAAATCAAGTAAGGACTTAAAATCTAATTACATTGTTTTCATTGAACCTTCACATTACATCTTTGTGATCAATGAAGCCTCATTATCCCATTAACCTTTTGACTGACTCTCCAGTTAATACAAGTATCATTATATTAATTAGTCATTATCACAGCTACAAGTACTGACCATCATGCCTGTGCTTAAGAAGATTATTGCTTAGAAGTACAGATCTAAACTGTGGAAGAGCTGTTCATTTGACCTTTAATCTCAATGGATTTAACTCTGTTTATCCACAACATGCACAGCAAATGATCCTATTGCTCAAAGGGCCTTCTTTTCCCATTCCTTGCTCCCCAAAATATCAACAACCAAAATCATGTTAGAAGGTACCATTCCAGTGCCAACCTTTGGAACAGCAGTTATCTGAGGTCTACAGTGGTTTCCAGATGAAAAAAACCTATATCTTGACAGACACTTCCATCACCAGAAAAAAATCTAGAATTGTCCTCTCTCAAATTATGTTCCTTGATTTTCTAGTCTTGTAGAAAACCTTCAACTTCAGTGGAGTTTTGCCTCATTGTGTGCTGAACTAAGACAAACGAGGAATCCTACTATTTTAACTGCTGCAATCCACCTCTGCAGGATTATTTACACATTGAGATAGATAACAATGTGTTGACACGAACATAATTTTGTTAATAATTTGGGGTAAGCAAAACCCATAAAACAGAGGAGGAAGATTGGTCAAGGACCTCCTAATATGTTCAACTCACCACTAACTCTGCTATGTCTGCAGAAATTAAAATATGAACAAACTGCACTTCAGTCTTCTCACTAGTTTAGCCAGTATTTTCCTCTTCGCTTTTTAAATGACAGAAAATGATCCCAGCAGAAAAATTTGAAGGAGGAAAAGTGCAAAGTCTTGGGGGCCAGGAGGGGAAGAATTTAGAAAAAAAAAAAATATGGATAGATAAATTTTATAAGCCAGCTTCGGGTGAAACATAACAGCAGAGACAACATGTTTATAAAACTCCAAACAAGCACTAAAAGTCAAAGTAATTTAAAGTGTGAAGGATATTAGCAACAGAAAAGGGGAAATAAAGCTATTAAAAGAAGAATGAATCATATTAAAAGTCAAATTAATCTTGGAAGCTGTATTTCACATGCATATCAGTGAAAGATAAGAATAACAAAATATTTCAGCATCTTGGATATCAAGAAAAGTCAATTATAATAAGGCTTTGTGCAACTGAGCAACAACTAACAAAACAAAGAATAGCCAGGAAACTAGGGTTTGTATGCTTAAGTATGTATTACTTTGTCCACGCAAAGTAAATCTGGAAAATTTTTTGACCTCATGTTTGAGGTCAAACATGATTCTGGATAGGATTAAGTAGCAACATGAAATGACAGACACTGGTAGTTTACTGCAGAAAGGGAGACTTAAGAGTCAAAGACAAATATGAACTGAAAAAACATGAAAGCACAGGGTCACTCAAAGAAAAAAAAATACATTAAACCTCAGTGGTGATAAAGTACAGCAGATCTTTCATCAGTGGACAATAAGAACTGCTTAAAACAAATTAGAAAAAAAATGCATATAGGAAAAACAGCTGGGAGAGGATTGAGCAGCTTTAGAGAAAGTAAAGGCCTGTCTTCAGGGCACCAGTAACAATGTTGCCCAGTAAAGTTTTGTCCAAGTACAGAGTTTAACAAAATGTTCCCTAGAACTTGAACAGATGCAGGAAAATGTAAAGATCAAGACTTCAAGTCCAGGTGCCTGAAGTTCATCCAATAAAATCATGGTTAGATTTCAAAATAATAAATGTGAATTTAGAAGCCTACATCAATTACAAAACCTTTAGGGAAGTGCATATTTTTAATTTTATATTAAACAAAACATTCTTAACACAAGAGACTTACACACTTATTTTTTCCAATGTGTTCCAGAATTAATAAATTAATACCAATACCTACTCTATCTGTGTATATCTATATGTATATATAAAACCACATATTATTCTCTACAATATGACGGGTGCAAAGCAAGCCCTCTGGACCATCTTTACACCTTTTAATAACTATTATTGATATGGAAGTAATAAATGAAAATTTTTATATTTTATTGTTTTGGAAGGTTATTTAAAGGTAATAAATGAAGAAAAAAATATATTTTATTTTTCTATAAACTGTAACACAATAAAAAGAAGTAAAACAGCAACAGAAGATCTGCTTAACAAAATCCAAACCCCAAGTCCCTTATGACTTGGTAATTAGAACATATTTCCTTACCAGTCACTTGGAGAATATGAGTTTGATAGAGCTTATCATAGCCATCAGCATAGCAGGTGTAATTTCCCATATGAGTTGTGGTAACCTTAGTAATGTACAAGGACCCATCATCTCCAAAATCCTACCAGGAAACATTAAAAACAAGGTTATCACAATTAAGCCTGCGTCTCTACAGTAATTATGTTCATCATCTTGGCAATAAAGCCATGATGCAAATATCAAACATCACAAATATTAAATGAGAATATCTGACAGTAATCTGAAATTCAAACATTCTACTTGTGAATGGTGTTGTTTAATCTTTCCACATATACTGTGCCTGTAAAAGAAAATACAATTTTTATTTTATCAACTAGTTAAACTCTGCAGAAGCAATATGTTTACTCAGCTATGATAGTTATTTGTAGAAGAAAAGATATTTAGGATTGGATCTGATCAGCAAGAAAAAATTAAATCTCTGCAAAAATGAACAAGTTAAATGACATCCTATAGAACTGTTGTCATCCTTTGAAATGATACACAAAAAAAAAAAGAATCCTCATTTTTCTTCAGTTCTTCTCATTAGATTCAGTGATACATTACAGAAGTACTACTCTTGTAAACTGATTTCAGGGATCTGAGATTCCTGAAAGCCAGTATTTCTGGTCAAGACCATGGCAAAGGAGGCTTTTAGTGCATAAACATCTTAAACTTTTGGCACTAGGTCCTGTGAACAGCTCAGTAACAGGTCCATATTCCCCATAGTCTTCCTTTTTGCTGCTGATATAGTCCAGAACTTCTGTAGACCTTTATATCTCTCACCAGATTCAATTCTGGGATGGCTTTGTCTTTCCTAACCTGCACATTCAAATAGTACCTCCATGTTCTCCCTGGGTCACCTGTCCCTCCTTACACCTTTCTTCCTCTTAGTTGAGTTCTGTCAAGAGCTCCTTGTTCATTAATACAGGCCTCTGGTTGCTTTTGATTTACTGTTCATTATGACAGCCTGTTCTTGAGAGTAGAGGATGTGATCCTTGAAAACCAACCATCTCTCTTAGACCCCATCTCTTTTCAATACGATCTTCTATGTGATTTTTCCAAGCACATCCTTGAACAGGTTGAAGCCTGCTGTCCTGAAGTCCATGGTTCTACTCCAGCTTTTTGCCCTTCTGGCTCCACTTAGGCTCCTTATCTCTACTATTTCATGGCCAAGGGAAATGAAATATATATATTCCCAACCAATTCCTCCTTGTTTCTTCACAAACTTTGTAACTTTCTCCATAAATTCCTCAAATCTACAGAAGACTATCAAAAGCCTGTAAAAACAAAAACCTCAGCTACAATACACTCAGGAAATCTGTAAATTGCACATTAAAAGAACTTTGATAGAAAATTATTACTACGTGCTCTGTTATTCTTACAGTCTATCCTTTGGATGTTATCAATGAGAAAATACTGGGCTAGATTAACCTCTCATCCATTATGACTATTCCTGCATTCTTCCATCATCTACGACTTTCCCAATTTATTGGGATTTTTTTCTTAAGACCCCCCTTTCCATTTTATGCTCATACCCAGAGAACATAATCTCAATGTTTTTATGCACATATTTCATTTAAGATTACTTTTACTATAACATCTTGGGTCTTCCTGTAGACCAAAATTTAAACATGAAAACTAGAATCTCTATGAACTTCCCTTTAATTTTTCAGTCTTCTTTCTTTAAATGCACTCAAAAATATTATTCAGAAAACATACGTCTCACTGTATTTCTTCATCCAAAGATGAAAAACTGAATTTTGCATTGCACAACTCTGTGCTTCAGATGATTATGCTAGTTGTTCATTGAGAGAGGAAAATAAAGCTCCTAAAAAGTAACCCACCTGGTAATACTATAAATAACTCGCCTTTCTTATGATAATTCTAGCTTTCTATATTAGCACTTTGGTTGCACAGACAATGTTTCTACTAACTCTTCAATATACCATTCCATGTTACCACTGCAAACATCGAAAAAGAACCCTCTTTAAGACTTAATTTTTAACTTTGATAGTATGAGCCAATACAACTGGATTTCCCTTCAAAATAATCCACCTAACTTCAACAGACTTCCTAGTTGGGTATTTTGATCTTTATCTCTTTCTAAAGTGTATGAACAAAAGTTTGATTTAATTTTTTCCCTTACAAGATAAACACATGTTTTCTAAGTGTTAATTCTTCAACAACATTATTAGTGGAAGATGGAAGAACAGCTGTTCAAAAGAGCTAGGTCCTTATGTTTTATCTAGAAAATGGCTATTGTTATTGCTGTCTAAAATTTTCTGTCTAATCTCTGCCAAAGGTATTTGTGAACAAAATAGGACATAGGATGGAGTGTATAAAAATTTAGTTGCTACAACGCAGTTTGGAGACGACTTTAACATTCCTTATGCTACATTATTAGATACCTCTTTGAAGCACACTGACCTGTTCCAGCCCTTTAACTGACTCACTGTGGCATATGATATCTTTAGGTACCATAGCTATTTTTAAGTAAATGAATGCCTGTATTATGGCTTTTTCCTCTTTTTCTTAGAAACCATGGATAAAACATCCCTGTGGTTATTTAACCAAGACATTAGTATTTCAGTAAGATTCACACATGACAACATCATTTCATCACTCAGAGAGACTGAATTTTATGGATGGTTTTTTTTTTGTTGGTAGTATGGGTTTTATCTGGTTGTTTTGTTTGGGTTTCCTTTACAACTACAAAATAAATATCCCTAGTTTATTGTTATAGCAGTTCAATGTTTGTTTTGTTAATTACTACTCGATACAAATAGAACTTGATGTTCTAAGCAGCATTTGAAAAGGGATGGTGAAATATAAACAAAGTTATTTGACACTGCTTGTTGACAAATATTCAGTGTTTTATTGACTAACTCACAAGCTAAATCCCTGAAAAAACCTGCCTCTGTACTGACACGCAAACATAGTTGAAACAGATAGAGCCTTCAAACATCAACAGTAATAAATAGAGAATATTTGATGATGGTAAAAAACTGCTATAAGTTCAATTTCTGTTCAGTCTCCTACTGTTCAAATAAAAATGGCAAGATACTTCTGGAATTACATTGAGAAACTCTAATTATTTTTGCCATACATAAAAAGATAGAATTGAACAATTATTTTAACAATGATTCCAACGCAACTCTGTTCTGTTTAAGAACCTGAAATGTTAAGAATCATGATATATGTCATGAATAATGAGTAAAATAATATAGGAAGAAAACTTTAATTTGATAGTCAATCTTTCCTTTGCTGTCTTAGTGTTTATACAACAAAAACCTAAAGGTGATTTTTGTTTTTAAATCAACAATTATTTCCTTTGGTTTTATAACTTGCTTTCATATGCTAACTCTTTGAGTATAAGAAAGTTTATGATCATTTGACTACACTTCATCGACAGCTCTACAAAGACTGTTCCCAACTTCTCCCCACAGGAGAATGTATAATGAAGCAGACTGCTTGAATTTGTTTGCCATCATAGAACCAAAGATTCATTTTGGTTTGGTTTGTGGGTACTTTTTTCCCAGCATTTTTTGCCAATATATTTCTCTCTTAAATAACTTTTTGTTTGAGGTTTTTCACTTTTTGTAAGAACTTTCTGTACTTAAAATCACAACCTTCCCCTCAAAAAACATCTTTCCCAAATAAACAATATCATGTCTGTCATGGGTTAAAAAGGGTTTTCCCTTGGATTTGGAAAGTGGTTAATCCCAGGGGGTGGTGTTCTTGGTGTAGAGCCAATCAGAAGCTACAGTTCGCCCCTGTGAAGTCAACATATTACAACAGACCAGAAAAGGAAACTGGATTACGTAGTTGGAAGAGAGGCAGCCATGGTTTGAGATGCCAAGTGTTTGAGTGGGGGCCAATGAGCCCCACGAGGGGGGCCAAGGCCCCCAGCCCCCCACTGGGGCTGCAGAAACCTGGAACAGTATTAAAACTGAATCGAGTGCTGTGGCCAAAGGCTGGGGGAGTTTCTCCACTGTGAGTGGGCAGCAGAAGATGGAAAAGCAGCAGAAGACGCAGGGCTGAGTGGAGAGCTGTGGTTGAAAGCCAAGAAGATAGCTGGCAACCAGCAACATGGCACATAGCCAGGCTGAGAGATGCAGAGATGTCCTGCAAGGAGGGAGAGCTGGCAACAGAGCAGAAAAAACTCAGCAGACACTGTTTTGGGTAAAACTGGATTACCTTCCCAAAACCCAGAGACCTCCTGAAGAGGAGAGGTGGGCTTCCAAACTTTTAGGGAGTTCTGAAATTCAGCAGCAGCTAGAGAGAGAGAGAGAAGAGCTGAGAACTCAGAGACATCCTGTGAGCTGGACCAGGACGGAATGCAGGGAAAGTGGCCTTCCTCCTCCCCCCTGCCATGTTGGCAGCTGAGACAGAGCAAAGGAGCTCTGTTAGAACACTTGGGGCAAAAAAAACTAAACTGAGAGCCCTAAACCATTCTGACTTGAGGGAATTTAACCCCTCGAGGAGGGGACTTTCATGGGATGCCTTGCACCCCATGATATGTTCATGGTAAGGCAAGTCTTGTCCCTGCTTTGCAGCCCACGGGAGAGACCTTCGGTTGGAGCCGAAGGACTGAGAAGAGAGAGAAAAAAACCCTGTGTTGTAATGGAGAGAGATATTTTCCAGCTACAACAAATCCAGCTACGACTGCTGCCTTGAAGAGGAGAGACACTGCTGCCCTGAAAGTGGAAAAAACCTTTTCTTCTTTCCTTCTGAACTTTTTTTGGAGGGAAAGGAGGGATTTGATCTATGTAAATATATTGCTTTACCATAGTAGAGATAGTTAGAATTGTTGTATATAAATGTATTACAGTAGTTATTGTGTTAGTAATACTAGATGTGTTATGTCTGAAAACCCCTCTCACACTGAAGCAAAGTGTGGGGGGCTTAGAAATTGGATTTTTTAAGGTCTCAAACCACGACACATGTCTTTATTTTTCTTTTCACTAAGTCCATCCACAGTGATCACTGCCCAAATCTCACTAGTAATGTATAACTGAGAATTCTGTTCAGAGATTTAAGTAGTTCAGGAAAATGGATCAGGAATGCAGACGACATTTAGGTGGTCTGAAGGCATTATACACA